TCAAAATGGAGCTAGAAAGTTGATTTTTGGAGCGTTTTGTGAGTAAATTTGTCTATTTTTTGTTTTACATTAATTCTAAATGAAGGAATTCGAAATATTGAATAAAACCAGATAAAACTAAGTGTGGACGCACTAAAAAGTTACTGTGTTATCGGCTCGAATAGTTCCAATGAAAAATCTGGAATTTTCTTAAAAGGTGACAAGTTCAAAGATAGTCTGAAAAACCTCGGAAAAAAGAAAAAAAAATTGATGAAAGATTGACAAAAATTTCAATTAAAAATACCCAGATAACACCATCAATCATTGAAAAATCACGAAATTCAAAATTTTTTTGAACAGATTTTGAACCATTGAAAAAAAAAATGATATCGATTACAGATCCAAAGGACGTTGCAATTGTTCCTATGAAAGGGAAATCGATGATTTGCGAAGGAATCGTCGAGAAAATGAGAGGGAAATCAGAGAACTTCATAAGGAGGTACAGTATTACCGTAGCATGAGCAAGGATCTTGATCGTCATTCAAGACTGAAGAAGCAGGAAATCATTGAACTCAAAGAAGAACTTCTGAAAATGACCAGGATGAATGCTGAGAAACATTCAACGCGCCCTGAACACAAGATGGTTAGTTATGATCATAGCTAAAATTGCTGAAATTTCCAACAAAATAAATTTTATATGTTGATTTTAAGCCGAGATACAGCCAGTGGCAGGTTAGAGACGCCGTGTGCCTCGTTGTCTGCGTCTCTAGCCCCGAAAACTTCAAATGACCATAACTCAGCTCAAAATTGTCCTAGGAAGATGGTTTTTTAAACGATAGAGAGGAAATGTCCTGTATTATATTTTCAAATTTATGTGCTTTTCGAAATAAAAATTTTCAGCACTCTTCGGCTCCAATCACTTCTGCTCCGCCTCAAAAAGAATCACCACCACCATACGAAAACGCTGAAAAGGAATGGAAGACTGAGAAACCAGAGACCACAGGTAAATTTTGTTTATAACATTCAAAATCTCCAAGAGTTGAAAATACAATTTTTCTGAAAATCTGTAATTCTTGAAAACATTTTTGTTGTGCTTAAAAAAAGTCTGAAAACCTGAAATTTTTCCTTCTCAACAATTAAAAAATTGAGTTTCTAGGGCAATTTTGAGCCGAGTTATCGTCATTTGAAGATTTTGGGCTAGAGACGCAGTGTGTCTCGCTTCTCTGCGTCTCTCACCCCAAAAAATTTCTATAGCCATAAATCGGCGGAAAATCGTTCTAGAAAGCTGGTTTTTGGAGTGTTTCGTTGGAAATTGCTCAGATGTTTAAGAAACTATAAAATTTCAAAATCAGGAACCCTGATTTTTTTTTCGAAATTTTCAGATTTTCAAAATAAAAATTTCAATTTTAAAACTTCAATTTTAAACTCTTGAATCAACTAGAAAATTCCTTTTTAATCGCTTCGAAAATCAAAGTTCTACGACAATTTTGAGCTGAGTTATAGCCTTCATTGCTGCGA